GAGGACCCAGGACGGCGAGACGAGGCAGGCGATGGTCAACCTCACGGCATCGGCAATGCACGCCGCGGCGGAGGCTGCCAGCGAGGCCCTGCCGCACGAGGGCGCGAGCACGAGGGCGCGAGAGAGGCGGAGCGAGCCCTGCGCTCTCTGGACGGCGAGGGAGCCGGAGGAGCATGGCGGCCAGCTCGGCGTCGACGGTGACTACGCCCTCGGCAAGTGCGACGGCCGCTCCCACTCCCACGACTCAAGCAGTGGCGAAGCGTCCTGGCGTGCCCATAGGCCTACCAAGCACTGTCCTAAGAACCTCTTGTGGTTTCCACGAAATGTTCTTAGACAATGTGTGGATGGGACTGTCTTGTTTTAACATACCGGTGCTATGTTCTAAGAGCACTGCTTTTGTTCTTAGAACACTTCTGGGTTCTAAGAACACGGCGTGGTAGGCCTACAGGAATGCCGGGGCGGTCGGTCCCTGCTCAAACGACGAGCTCCTTGACGACGACGCCAGCGGGGTGACAGTACGGCAGCAGGGGAGGCAGCGGAGGTAGCTCGGCCGGGCCTTCCGATGGAGCCCTCGCTGTAACACCCCTAGCCTCCCCGAGAGGGCGGCTCCAGGGGGAGGCGGCTCGGCTGGACCCTGCCACCGCAGGGTCCTCGCGGGAGCACCCCCTGGGCCGACCAGAGCACGCAGGCGGTGCCAGGGGGGAGGAAGCTCGGCTGGAGCCTGCAGCCGCAGGGTCCTCGCGGGAGAACTCCCTGGGCCGACCTGACAAGAGTGCCAGGGGGGAGATAGCTCGGCTGGACTACGACTCCTCCCGGGGGCCCCCCCCGGGCCCCGACGTCGACGAGCACCACGACCTCTACGAGCTCGGCTCCACCTTCGACGGCGACAGCGACTTCGACAGCGACGTGGTCGACGCGGCGGCGCTGGCCTGCGCCATGGAGGAGCAACTCAAGGAGGTAGAGAAGGAGGCCGAGCGGGTCGACGCCGCGCTGGCCACGATGGATCGTGGTGCTCCGGAACCAGGAGATCATCGAGGGACAGACCAAGGCTCGACGCGACGAGCCCACTTCGGCCCCTTGGAGTGGTGCTTCCCCGAGGCCGCGTCCGCCGACCTCGGCGACGGCGGCAATGACGGGCCGACGCAGGACGCCGCCCGCAGCAAGCCCCACGGCTCGCGTGCGCGGCGGAGTCGCGGCCAGGACGAGCCGAACAGGCTGGTCCGCCCCTGGCTCGAGCGCGAGGCGCCCCTGGAAGCCCGCGTCGAGGCCAGCCGTGACGACGTGGCGGACGTGGACGTGGTCGCCCTGTTCCAGGACTTCGCCGCTGCCACGGCCGCGATGGCTGCTGCCGCTCCGCCAGCGCCCGATCCAAGAGCCGCTAACACGGAGGCGTGCAAGCAGATGCCACGCGACTTGGGCGTCCCGCCGCTGCTCGGCCTAGGGCGTGAGCTGGCGGTGTCGCCGTGCCATGCCGCCGACGAGGGCCTGCGGTGGCGGGCAGCGGGGGCCCGTCGACAAATTGAACCTGCCTCGCCCACGGTGAGCAGGGGCCGTCGGCGAGGCGGCCGCTGACGAGCGTCCGCTGGCTTAGCGGCCCGACGCGCGCTGAGGTGCGCGGCGCGGGGCCGCGCGGTCGGGTCTCTCGGGACTCGCGCCGTCCGCCCTCGAGCCCTCGAGCCCTCCCCAACCTCCTCCTCCTCCTCCTCCTCCTCCTCCTCCTCGTCCTCGTCCTCGTCCTTGTCCTCGACTTCGTCCTCGTCTTCCTCCTCCTCGTCTTCCTCCTCCTCCTCCTCCGCCTCCACCTCCTCCTCCTCCTGCTCCTCCTCCGATTTATCATCATCACCAGCAGCATTATCATTAGCATCAGCATCATCAGCATCATCACCAAGAGCATCATCATCAGCATCAAGATCCTCATCATCATCAGCATCAGCATCATCATCATCATAATCATCGCCATCGTCATCATCATCAGCATCATCATCATCAGCATTATCATCAGCATCATCATCATGCTCCGCATCATCATCATCATACTTATCATCATCATCGTCATCATCAACATCATCATCATCAACATCATCATCAACATCATCACCATGACCCTCATGATCATAATAATCATCATCATCGTCCTCCTCCTCATCATCATCATCATCATCAGCATCATCATCATCATCATCAGCATCAACATGTGCATCAGCATCAGTTTCACCGTCATCATCATAATCATAATCAGCATCGGCATGATCGTAATCAGCATCAGCATCGTCATCGTCATCGTCGTCATCATTATCATCAGCATCACTGGCACCACCATCAGCATCACCACCATCGTCATCATCATCATCATCATCATCATCATCAGCATCAGCATCATCAGCAGCATCCTCATCAGCATCATCAGCACCTTCATTATAGCAATCATCATCATCAGCCTCATCATTACCAGCATTAAAATCATCATCATTATTATCCAGATCATTAGCATCATCATCATCAACATCATAATCATGATCGTCGTGGTCGTCGTCAACATCATCACCATCATCATCATCATCATCATCATCATCATCCTCATCCTCATCATCACCATCATTATAGCCATCAGCATCATCATCACCAGTAAGAATCAGCACCAGCATCAGCTTCATCATCATCATCAGCATCATCATAATCCACATCCTTCTCCTCCTCATCATCATCGTCATCAGCATCAGTATCAGCATCAACATCATGAACAACATCATAATCAGCAACATCAACATCATCAGCATCAGCATAATCATCATCCTCATCCTCATCATAAACATCATCAACATCATCAGCATCGTCATCGTCATCAGGGTTTCACGCATTGAGGGCGGTTCCTTTTCATACCCTTGGGTTTACACTGGTCCTCCTCCCTCCCCTTCTCCTCCTCCTTCTCCTCCCTGTCCCCTCTCCTCCGCCTCCTCCCCCGCCTCCTTCTCCTCCTTCCTGACTCTCCCTCCTCCTCCTCCTCCTCCTAATCCTCCTCCTTCTCCTGATCCTGCTCCTGATGCTGCTCCTCCTCCTGATCCTCCTCCTCCTTCCTGCCTCCTCCTCCCAACCTCCCCCCCCCCGCCCGCACCTCCCCCCCAGCCTTCCCCCCTCCCTCCCTCCGGCTCCCTCGCTCCTTCCCTGCAGGGCGGCGGCGGCCGGCAGCGGGGCCTGCGCCCTCTCCACCTCCTCCTCCTCCTCCTCCTCCTCCGCCTCCTTCCTGCCTCCTCCTTCCTGCCTCCTCCTTCCTGCCTCCTCCTCCTCCTCCTGATCCTCCGCTTCCTCCTGATTTTCCTGATCCTCCTCCTCCTTCTCCTTCTCCCTCCTCCCTCCTCCTCCTCCTCCTCCTCCTCCTCCTCCTCCTCCTCCTCCTCCTCCTGCCATTTCGCGCCCGAGCGCCGCCCCCCCTGCACGGGGCGCGCAAGGGTGTTTCGCGGGCCAACTTCGGAATGGCCTTGCCCGCGAGAGCCGACATCAAGAAGCGTTGCGCCCCACGTCATCAGCTACAATGCTGAGATCAGGCGCGTGCGCACCAGGCAAAAGACGTGGCACACTCCGTCCTGTCCTCGTTTCCCTCCCGTCCCTCCTCCATCCCTTGGCGAGCTGTGGCGCCAGTTGCGGCGCCGCTGCCGAAGTGCAGGCAAGCATCAGAAAGCTAGAGCAGCACAGCAACAGCTACAATGTTGGGAGAAGTGCGTGCGAAGGCAGGCGAGCATGGCCAGCCATGATCAGCAACGTCATCAGCTACAGTGCTGGGAGCGGTCCGTGCGGCGAGACCGTGCGAGCCAACGTAATCAGCTACAGAGCTGGGGCCAGCTCGTGTGGGAGACGCCATACCGAGGAGCAGTGGCTGCAAGGGCGGTCGGTGCGACAAGGAAGGCAGTGGCAGCAACAGTTGCCGGTGCCAAACGGCGAGGCAAGATCACTTCATCAGCTACAAAGCTGCTAGGGTCAGCTTGTGCGAGGGAGCAGTGGCAGCAGGGACTGGCAGTGCAAGAAAGCAGGCAGTGGCAGCAGTGGCTGTCGGTGCGAAAAGGCAGGCAGTGGCAGCTGTGGTTGTCTGTGCCCGCCGGCGCAGCAAGAACACCTCATCAGTTACACTGCTGCTGGGGTCACCTTGTGCGAGAAGGGCAGGCAGTGGCAGCGGGAGCTGGCAATGCGAGAAGAAGAAGCAGTGGCAACGAACCTAGCACTGCGTGCAGACGCAAGTGCGCGTGCAAACGTCATCAGCTACAACGCTGGGGTCAGTTCGTGCGACATGGCAAGTTTTCCCACGGAAGGCAGCATGCGGCGGTGTGCGCCAGAGCACTCAGCAGGCTGCCACAGAGGGCTATGCTAACGAAGGACGCGGCTCGAAAGATGGGCCAACCACCTGGGGGTGCCCATCCCCCACTCGTCGCTCCTCGTCGCCACGGCTGGGCCCTCGCCGCCACGTGAGAGAAACGGCATGGGGAAGAAATAGCTGGACTGACGTCATCAGCTACAATTCCAGAGCAAAGCCGAACCTTATCGCCCAGAGACGGCCTGGGGTAGGGGAAGTGTTCATCGCTGCCGTTGCGCGTGTTTCGCGACTTGATGATCCAGCATGATCCTGCTCCCCCTCCTCCTCCTCCTCCTCCTCCTCCTCCTCCTCCTCCTCCTCCTCCTCCTCCTCCGCCTCCTCCTCCTTCCTGCCTCCTCCCTCCTGCCTCCTCCTCCTTCCTGCCTCCTGATCCTCCTCCTCCCGATCCTCCTCCTCCTCCTCCTCCTCCTCCTCCTCCTCCTCCTCCTCCTCCTCCTCCTCCTCCTCCTCCTCCTCCCCTCCCCCTCCCCCTCCCCCTCCTTCGTCCCCACACCTCCTCCCCCCTCGTCCATCCCCTCAACGCTCGGCTTCTCCCCCTGCGCTCCTCCTCCTCCTCCTCCTCCTTCCCGCCTCCTCTCTTCTGCCCCCCCTCCGGCTCCTTCGCTTCTCCCTTGCAGGGCGGCGGCGGCAGCGGGGCCTGCGCCCCGGGCAGGGCCGGACGGGGCAGGAGTAGCGCCCTCTTCCCGGGGCGTGCCCGAAAAACTGCTGCACGGCGCGCGCGCGCAGGTCCTCTCTCTGGCCTGGCCTCCCTTGCAGTTGGGCTTAGGTCGGGCATGTCCTCGTGCACGCGGATTCCGGAAGAAAGATGGAACGCTAGCCGACCGAGAATCTAATATAGTCAGGAGAGAAAGGAACATCGCCACCGGACTACTGTTCTACTCTTCTTGAATACTCCTCCTGTAGAGGGACATGCCAGACTCAAAACTGGATGCCTCACAACCGGGGTCCAAGTAGATGGGGTCGGATGCGTGGCGGCATCCGCACACTTTCCCCCACCAACCCTCGATTGGCCTGAGTCGATGGGAGGCGGGAGGTAGGGTGCTGATCTCGCCGCGCGGTCGACGGATTCCAAGCCCTACCCCGCCGCACATCGAGCTGCCTGAATCGCTGATTGGCAAGGGTTAGTGTTCGGGTTTCGCTGCCGAGTCGGAGGATCGCGCAGCGTCGACGATGCATCGGCGCTGCTTCGCCGACGTCTGCGATACATCGGCGACGCCCACGTGGAGAACATCGAGACCCACAACGAGTCGCATCGCCGATGCGCGGTGCGATCCTCCGCCCACATCTGCTCAGACCCCATCTGGGAGGCCTACAGTAACGCACCAGGCGAGCGACCAACAGGAAGGGGGAACGGCACGACCTTGCGCAGAGGCTTGCGAAGGCCGCCAGCGCGACACAGCGCGTGGAGAAGAGCGCACTCACGCGGGCAGCCTGTGCGGGCAGCTTGCGCGCCAATGTCGGCCGAATCAACCAACTTGTTCTGCAGGCCATTGGGCGTCTCTGGAGGCTCCCGTCTAAATACCAGTCGAATTACACGGCTGACAACGGCACAGAAGCTTGCCGGGACGGAGCCTTGGAGGGATTCCAGGGACCAGGGCAGGGCGATATGGGCGGCAGGGATCGGCCCCATTCTTGGAGGCCTGGGAGACAGCCCCCAGCAGGCGGGGACAATTCTAACGACCGAGCACCACTGCGGACATGCGTCCAGGCCTAGCTAGAGGCCAAAGAGGTGGGGTCGAGTAGGTATGGGGTCCGAGGATCTCGCCGCATCGCCGAGTCGTCGGCGATGCATCGTCGGTGCGTCGGCGATGCGTTGACGCCGTCGGCGTGGAGAACACTGGGCTCCACATCGAGCCGCATCGCCGATGCATCGGCGATGCGGCGCGATCCTCCGACACCATCTACTCCGCTCCCATCTGGACGACGATCAAAAACGGAACTTTTGCGAGATGACGTAGCGACCTTACGCGGTGGCTTACGCGGGCCGCCAGCGCGGTACGCTACATTGGAAACGAGGGCGCTCACGCCGGCAGCTCACGCGCGAATGTTGGTGAAGATGCACCAGTGAAGGCGTCGCTCATCTGAGTCTTGTAGACTAGCGAAGACAAAGCGGAGCGAATGTACTATTTCGCGGACATAACGGTCGGGGCCCACCGAAAGGGGGGGACCCTGAGGGGGGGAGGAGTTCGATCCGCTGGTGCATCGAATTTCCGAAAAAGATGTCCCCCGCGCGCCCCGATTGTCGACGCCTCTCGGGTTCCGGCGGCGGCCGGAGACCTCGTGTTGCATCGTTTTTCTGCGCTTCGAGGCGCCAACGGACCGAACACACACACCCCTGTGGCCCCCCCCTTTGCGAGCTCCCGAAACGGGGTTATGGGGGGGGGGAGAATGAGCATCGTTTCACCGATCCCCATCCCCAGTGGCATGGCCTGGGCCCCACTGGCCGATTTTTACCCCCCTCGATGGGGATATCGGTCGTTCCCCTCGGGTTTCGAGGGGTGCATCCCCAACTGGGGAAGGGATTTTGGTGGGGGTCTCGAAGGGGATGGGGAAGGGGATGGGGGTCGGATAGACGATACTGAGAGAAGGCGTGACACGGGAGGGGGCATAGCGTAGCACCCCCCACCCCTCCCGACTGCGGTGTCGGACGCTCTGTGTGCCGGCGACGCACCGAAGGCGGCAAAGGGGGCGGGGGGAGGGCAGGAGGCATACCGTGCGTTATTGGAGTAGGGGATCGACTACATAATTAATTTACCCCAAAATTCATCCGTTCGTCGACTTCATGATACATGACTTGGAATGTTCATAAGTCTACGCACATTCTACGTACGACTCAACGAGAAAATACATGTTCGGGTGCAGAAGTTCTGTAGTCGGTGCCCTACTCGAGTTATGGCCCAGAGGGTTAAACTGAAACAGCACTCGCGAAGACCAGGTGGAGGAGACCCGCGGCCTCTGGCCAGAGTGCCAGCTGCTGTACTCAGCAGGAGGCGGGCCGCCTCCATGGAAAAAAGGCCCCCAGCCTCTCGCCTCGCCGCCTCCCTTGGCGCGCGCCTCGACGGGCAGCGCCCCGCTGGGCCCAGCCTCCCTCCCTTGCCATCGCTGGGACATCAACTCCCCGTGCCTTGTTTGGTTTCGTGTGTGCTCTTTGCTGCCAGATGATCTAAAGTGCTCCTCGATGGTCCTCGCCGAAAACATGCACACGTCCGAGCGATGCCAAGAAGAAGAACCGAAACCGCTTCGGGGACCTACTGACACGGGTCCATGCAAACCCGGGTCAATCGGCCCTTACAAGATCTTGCAAGATCCTACAGGGCCCTGCACCCCAGCCCGGGTCAGTGCAGCCCCCTGGCCCTGCAGGATCCTGCGACGTCTGGCGCTCTGGCTGACCCCCGATTGCATCGACCCTCGTCTCTTGAGCCCCGACCTCTAATCCCCAAACAATTCCCACGGTGCGCTCTGATCAAAAATTCGCGGCGAAACCAACGGTGGCGACGAAGGCCTCCCGAAAAAGCCCAGAACACGGAAAAGGTGGTGAGGGTAGCGGTGTATGGGTACGGTCGGACCGAAGTATAAGATCGAGGTCGGTTTTCGGCAGGGTGCCCTGATCTTCTTCGTGTTTGTTGGATTATCATGGGCTTCCAGGGAAAGTACCCTTGGGTGTTCTGTGTTTTGCACGAGAACGGCGCTTGTGCACCGTACTATGCTTGAAATCCCTTCAGGCCTCGCTCCAACGCTTTACGGTGCATATAGTGTTGGCTCTTAGATCAACTATGCACCGTACCATTCCTGGGTCGAAGATCGGCATCGCTTCGGGAGACGCCAACTCCGACAGCCACACAACGAAAACCGCTGCAAAGACTTCGGCCAATGCACATTCAACAAGCCGACACAGGCGCCAACCAGACTGATGGCACTGCACTTGCCGTGGATAACACACGCAATCACAGAAATACAAGAATCACGTGCACCTGCAACATGCACAACCCAGCAACATACAACCCAACTCCAGGCAGCTTCGGCCGACCGACAGGTACAAGAACGCGACTTGCCACAGCAGCGCCAACAGAAGACCTCTGCGGTTATCGACCACTGGACCCATACTTACATCAACGCGTGCCAAGCTACACGGACACAGCACACCACCCTACGCCCGACCTGCCCGACAACCAGTCCATACAGCAGCGTTGTCCTGACCAGTAACCCGATCGCCTGCCTCATCCCTGGAAGCCTACGGGCATAACTCAGGGAGAGGCACCATACCAAAAGCGAGTGGACGACAGCCCGCCTCATACCTGGCAAAAGGAGCCCCGTCGGGCATACCCCAGGGAGAAGCACAAGGGCCATTCAGACTGTCCTTCACTCAAACGATTCCGCCTCAAATACAGCACGCCCGCTACATACTTGGTATGGGAGCCTCAGGGGCGTGCCTCAGGGAGAAGCACATAGGCACGGAGAGCCTTCGATACATAATGCCCATTTAGATACAGCATTACATACTATGCCATAATTTCGGCGAAGCTCCCATACGCTGACAGCATAGACACATTGTCATACTCTCCAGAAGCTAACGCCAACCGACGCACGTAGCACAAGGAATACTTCATACCGACACACGTGTTGTCCTGTGTTTCTGTGTAATTCAGCTTGCAATACGTGTCAATCTTGGCTCTTTCGCAAAGGCAGAAGGAGTGCTCCATGTCTTGCGACTTGTAGTTGTCACCGTCAGAGGCTTGGACGCCCGGTCTACGTACACCAGCGCACAATGCAGCACGCGACGCAACACTCCACACAATCCAGACTTGCAAGAACTCACATCTCACGCAGACACGACCTCTGCCCGCTTCATACCTGGAATGGGCGCCCTGACGGGCATACCTCACGGAGATGCCAGAGGGCAAAATCACCACAATGGCCCCTCAAGATTGATACACCACCTACCGCCTGCTTCATACCTGACAAGGGAGCCCCCAGGGGCAAACCCCACTGAAAAGCGACAACAAACAACCACGCACCACCGACCATGGAGCCTAACACCGGGATCAATTCGCCAACCCGCTTCATACCTGGCAAGGGATCCCGACAAGGACAGACCTCAGGAAGAAGCAGAGAGGCAGGACACCGTACAGCGACAAGACTTTGATACATGCTCCAGCCACTTTCTTATTCTTCAAAATCATATGACAAATCCCTATACTATGAGCTGCGTATGGCAGGCACTCGGGTGATTCAGTCAGACCGTCAATCACAAAAGGCTGTCGCCTACCAGCGAACCACAGGCCGTACAATACATGTAATGATGCACGGCTGTTCGAACAGCAATTCTACAACTTGGTCGCAGTTGCCTTATAATGCAGTGGCGAGCAAAGGAGTTGTCCTGTCATGCCAGTTCAGCTGTACAGTTACAAGTCATGATTCGTGGCTTCTAAGTTGATCCGATTGCACAGAAATGATTGTTCAGGAGCCTTTACAAGTATGGAGTCATTGCCTACGTCGCCCGCCTCATACTTGGCAAGGGAGCCCGCGGGGGCATACCTCAGGGAGGGGCGCAAAATGGCGAACACCAACTATCATACATACAGTCGGGGCGTTGACCTGAGGAACCTGAATAAGGCACGAGGCCCCTTGTATGCATATGCTGAACTTTGGCTCCCCATCGAAAACCTGAGGAAAACCTTGGGCAAGCTGTGAAACAATCAGAAAAGGG